AAGACATCTCAACATCATAAGATCCTTATAGCATCATTACAAAGAAGTCTGTTCAATCAAATTTCTGAGAATCATCCTGTAACTTAGCAGGTGCCTCAGCAGTTCCCTGGTGACCACCCAACTGCTCAGACCACTGCTCTCATAAACCTTCACTTCAACTCAGCTCAACACATTTCCAGAAAGCTCTCATCATTCCGAGTAAGATTTTATAATCAGCTTCCTCATACTTTCATCATTTCTTAAGCAGTTAACTCAGCAGTTCCCTGCAGTCCACTCAACTGCCAGTCAACTGCTCACTTAAATACGTCCAAACTTCACTCAAACATAGAAAGTTATTATACACTGTTTATTTAGAGGTCAAGACTTCCGCTGTGCATCTACAATCTCCCAAAAGATTATAGATCATCTCATCTAGCAGGGAAAAGTTTTTAAAGTTGAAAAAGCTTTAAAAGTATATTCACCCCCCCCCCCCCCCCTCTAGACTTTTACCTCTATTCAGGATCATCAGTTTCGTTTACCAGATAAAAAATAGGACTTTTTAGGGTTGGTCTGAAACGGAAATGATTAAGTGAGATGTTTATTTAGGGACGACGAAAGTAGTAATGAGAAGTTTAAGATGGGATGTGAAAAGAAAAATCGTTTGGCATATTAATTGCAATTGCATTCTGTAAATGTTTTCGCCCTAACTAATAAGTCTTGTATATTTTGGATATTTTTAATTAGACTAAAATTTTCTTGACTAATTTGGTATGAGCTGGTTTGGTCTAATTTCATAAATGTCAGATTTCTTTATATTTTATAATTGTCGAAGTATGATATGATTATGTTTATTATTGTCTAGTCTACTTTTTATATACACTTGTCTAGAAAAGATACTAGCCTACTTACCGCAACACATTAGAGTTGTGATTGCTTCAGCCTTCACGGATGATATTATCAACCAACCCGACACACTATTAGTTTTTGGGAAAGCATCTATTGTGATTTTGGGCACGTGATATGGGCTTTTTTCCAAGCCCATTAATTCTTTATAGAAGCTCATGGCATTATATGAGTGTGTGTGTGCGCGTTTACCAATTGGGTTGGGTTGGTCCATTAAAAATAAGATTGGGATCAGGAGTATTTGCCCGTCCGGACCAGTGAGTCTTGCCCAATAATAAATACTACCTCCGTCATGTTGGAAGGTTCCCATAGCAAAACGGCACGGTTATTTAGACAATAATGAAATAAAGTACATTGAGTATATTTTAAGAAATAATTTAATAGGTATATATTATAATGTAGTTAGTATTGATAACTGTGATGTTCTAAATGTATTATTTTTAATATTTAATGATTAATTTGTCACTTAAGATTGTTAATTGTTTCCTTAAATGGGACGTTCAAAAAAGGAAAATGGGAACCTTCTAAATGGATGGAGAGAGTACATGTGATTTTTCTTTCTTTGTGTGTGTACATACATAATTTTAATTTTTTTGATGTTTCTAAGTTTTCAATTATTATGTTTATATCTATTGCATTTTTATTGTGGTGTTTATAGCTTCTTACTACTGATTACATATTTACATAGTTTTTAATTATTATTAATTATGGAGTTATTGAATGCTTCATAAATTAAAATAACATTTTTACTTTTTTTGACTCCAAAAAGATTTCTATTAGATTTTCCACCATGCCTTCCGGGGGTTAAAAAAATATTATTGTTGTATTATTGTTGTTATTGTCGTTTTGTGATTATTATTCTATTTTCAATATTATTTTTATTACACTACTATTATTATTACTATTATTGTTATTATAACTTTTTTGTAATGAGGAAGCCAATGGTTAACAACAACTAAAGGGGTGTTTAGATATAATTCTTGAAACCGTTTCTGCTTCTTCAAGAAGTAAAAACAGTTATTTAAGTGTTTGTTTGAAAGTGCATAAGTACTTTTAGTGACTAAACCGAGTTATAATAACTTGGTTCCAATCAGTTTTATCAGATTCCAAAATCCACCCTTAAAGGGTGTTTGGTAGGATACAAGGATATAAAATAATTACTTTTGTATGCAAATTGAAAGAACGTAAATGTTTACACCATTAGCTTGATTATTTAATCTAAACTGTAGAGCTGTCTTTAAAAAGATCTCGGATGGTACCATGTAAAATATTTTACGTGGGGGAAATGTGGTAAAATATTTTAGATTTTTTTTACTCCGTATAAAGCACTACAACACGTTTATGTGCAAATTAAATATAAATTACACATATAATAAAAAAATGTACTCCCTCCGTCTCACTAACAATGGGACACAATGGAGTGTCGGATAAATCAATAAAAAGTGTTTTATGTGGTTGATGTTGAATTGATAAAATAAGAATAAAATAAAAATAATTTAGAGCCACACAAACTTCACCAAGTTTGGTATGAAATAAACTTAATGGAACAGATCAAAAAAGTAATATGAGACATTCTTAGTGAGATAAAAGGAGTAATCTGTTTCATATGGAGAGTGATTGATTATTTAAAATTTGTATGCAATCATTTCGCATTGAAAGATTTAATGTGTAAATTAGTAAAGGATCCCTTATTGCATTCGTTTATGTGCGGGCCAAATAACCGGTTGAACCACACGTAGAGAATAGGGGTGGGCATATTGGTTCATTTTTTATCAGTTTCGGTTCGGTTTGGAATGAGTTGGGAAAATTATTACCAAACAAAAACCATACTACGTACTACCTCCGTCCCTTAAAACTTTGCCAAAGTTGACCGGCACAGAGAATAATAAAGTAAAAACTGTATGGTTGAGGTTTGTGCAGAGGAGAGAGAAATAACAGAAACCACAAAATAATTGATTAAAAGGGAAAGTGGCAAAGTTTTTTGGGACGTCCAAAAAAAGAAAGATGACAAAGTTTTAAGGGACGGAGGGAGTACTATTTTTCGGTTTGGTTCAGTTTGGTTCGTTCGATTTAGTTCGGTTTGGATTTGTTATTTTTTGGAAAATTACCCAAAATAGGAGTAAATGAGGTTTAGAATTCCAAAATAGACTACTATATTTTTCTTCTCGAAATATGGGTTGTTACTGGCATGTATGAAAAATACTGCCATAATTGAAAAATATTGTCATAAATTATAATTAAAACTGTCATGTTAAATGCACTGTACTGCAACTATTTGGCAGTCACGCCTACAAGATCAGTAAATACTGCCATGTTGGTCCTATTTCGGGAATAAAAACATCGTAATCCTATTTTGGAATTTCAAACTCCATTTACTCATATTTTGGGAAATCTCCCTTATTTTTTATTAGTATATGAAGGTTTTATTGAATTTCTTTAGTTTAGTTCAGTTTTATTCGGTTTTTATTGGTTTCGATTCAGTTTAATATGATTTGAAAGAAATTCTATCAAACTCAAACCAAATGGCATATGGTTCGATTTTGTTTTAGTTTAGTTCGATTTCGTTTCAGTTTAGTTCGATTTGGTATGGTTATGATTTGAATCTTTCTGATCTGATTTGAATCTTTCTGATCTAATCTGATCTGATCTAATCTGAATCTTTCTGATCTGATCTGAATTTTTCTGATCTGATCTGAATGCTTCTAATCAGATTTGATCTGATCTGAATCCTTCTGATCTGATCTTAACTCTCTAAACCCGTATATAATAATAATAATAATAATAATAAATATCAATAATAATTATAATAAATTAATAATAATAACTATTATTATTGCAATTATAATTATTTAATAATAATAATAATAAAATAATAATAATAATAATAATAAATTAATAGTATTAATAGTAATAATAATAATACTAATAATAATAGTAATAAATAATAATAATAATAATAATAATAATAATAATAGTAATAATAATAATAATTATAATAATAATAGTAATAATAATAATACTAATAATAATAATAATAATAATAATAATAATAATACTAATAATAATACTCCCTTCGTTCTTTATTAACGGTCTCGCATTCCTTTTTGGGACGTTTTTTATTATTTGTTTCTCTTTCTATTTTAGGAAAGTTTTTGATAAAATACATCCACTTTTACTCCGTATTACTTTTACTCCTCTTACTTTTTATAAACTACTTTCTGTTTCCTACTTTATCATAGCTTTACTCTACTTAATATACTCTCTTTTGTACTTTATCATCACTTTATCACCAATTTACTCTTTTTAATATAGCCTCTTTCCTATTTTATCATTTACCCTACGCACTCTACATTTACTCTACTATTTTTCTATTAAAACCCGTGCCCAAAGCTAGGGGGACAGATAATAAAGAACGGAGAGACTAATAATAATAATAATAATAATAATAAATATCAATAATAATTATAATAAATTATTATTAATAATAATAACTATTATTATTATAATTGTAATTATTTAATAATAATAATAAAATAATAATAATAATAAATTAATAGTAATAATATTAATAATAATAATACTAATTATAATAGTAATAAATAATCTTAATAGTAATAATAATAATTATTATAATAATAATAGTAATAATAATAATAATAATAAATAATATCAATAATAATTATAATAAATTAATAATAATAATAACTATTATTATTATAATTATAATTATTTAATAATAAAATAATAATAATAATAACAATAATAATAACAATAAATTAATAGTAATAATAGTAATAATAATACTAATAATAATAATAATAATCATAATAATAATAATATTAATAAATAATCTAAATAGTGATAATAATAATAATTATAATAATACTAGTAATAATAATAATAATAATAATAATAATAATAATAATAATAATAATAATAATATATTCGATAATAATATAATGTTTCCAATTTGCTATGAATGTTTCTGATCTAAATGTTTCTAATTTGATCTGAATGTTTCTGATCTGATCTGAATGTTTCTGATCTGATCTGAATGTTTCTGATCTGATCTGATCTGATGCGAATAAAATAAGAATAAGCAATAACTAATAATAAGAATAACTGAAGTAGAAGGGCGCCTGAACCAAATCAATATGTCCCTCGGAGAAGGTCGGTCTATTAAATCAATTCCATAATCCAGATCGATACAACGCGTCTGCAGCTTCCAAAACCTAAGACCGTCGTTGATTGGTCGGTACCGAAGAGCTATGAGTGAAGGAGAAAAGAGCAGAGGTGTTGTGGCCTCTGGCACCGCGCAAGACCTGCCGCCGCCGCATCCAAACTATTACTACGGCACGTTTCAAGGAGTGGGCAGTAATCAAATCCCTCCGCCTCCGCAGTCTCAGCCGGTCATTGGCTTTCCTCAACCTATTCCTCCCGCAGGTGTATCCGGCGCTCCTCCTCATTATTATCCGCATAGTTATCAAGCCGTTCAAGGTAATCTCTTTTTATCTCATATAATTACACTTGTATTCTTAAATCCTAATATGAAGCCATATGCTATGTTTAATCTTAGATTGAAAAATATCATATCTTGTGTTTCTTTATGTTTGTGATCTATGATGACCTTTGCCTCACACTATACTACAATTGATCCTACCCATGTGAGGCTTTTATCTCATTTTATAATTCACCCTTTTTAGTTGTTGCTGTTCATTTTGAGGTAATACTTTGAGGAGTATAATTAACATAAGAGTCTTATGATAAGACAATGTCCCCAAACATAATGTTCCAAAGAGATTATGACTATGTGAAACTGTTCAGAAATCTTGTCCCATGCATCCCAAAGGCCTGAGAATTATGAGATATTATCACAATATTGGAGATGTTTAAAGTTTAAACAATTCTAGTATAAGTATAATGTTCACATTTAATGAGCTCAGTGTTCCCTTAGCATTAACTTAATTTTCATAACCGTGCTTGCTCATCTCTGTAGTGAAATCTGAAACTGAGCTTCTTGTCTTCCTAATACGGAGTAATATTTAAGAGGGAATTACAGTTTGCACTCCCTTTTTCATCCAAATTTGAGTTTGCATCCCTTTCTTTATCATTAATATTTTCACCCTAGAACTGAGAACTTCGATCTAGTTTTTCTTTTCTAAATTTGAGTTTGCATCACCGTTATTAACACATTTTTCTAACTTTGGGGTGCAAACACTATTGATTTCAAAGATGAGGTGGAAACACAAATTTGAATATAAAAGTTGACGGTGCAAACTCTGATTTCCTCAACTATAAATTAGTAATAATAATAATTGACACATATATTTAGAGACTACTGAAATGTGATACATGCACATTTGAACTGGATGGCCCGGTGGATGAGAAGCCGTGGATATCTACTTGCGTCCAGATAAAAAGGAAATAAGTCAATTTATTAAGGCTTGGAGCTTACACTTTGGGGTACTTTCAATGAATAACAGATAGTCAGATGCTATATCTTTCAAATATTTAATCGGATACTCTTTGGGATACTTTCAAATTTTCAATGAGTAGCAGATAGCCAGATACTATATCTTTCCAGATAGTCAGACGCTATACCTTTCTAAAAAAAGTGAGATGCTATATTAATTTCTTTTCTTTTAAATTTAGATTACCTTTTAATCCTATTCTGTTTTTTAAATAGAGGGTTGCCCTTAGGAAGTAGCAGGAAGACTTTAGTTCATATTAACACAACTATTTGACAAGTTAACATGTTATATCTTGCAGGAGAAGTACATGTGCTTGTTTTATCTTTGCCTTTTCCCAATACTGACTATGAGTTTCAATTTCAAATTCCTTTGGGAGAAGTTTCAAATAGGCCCTTGTGTTATAAAATCAATTAAGCCCTTGTACTCAATAATCATCCGATTAAATCCATAATGTTTGTGTCTATTCAATAAGCTTCAATAACAAATGATCTAAAAAGGATATTTGGATGGGTTTTAACAAGTTTGCGGGGGTGATTGGGTGATTATTAAGTACGAGCACTGAATTGTCATTTTCAATATAGTACGAGGGCCTATTTGGCACTTTTACCAATTCCATATTAGTCTTTACTCCTATTCAATAGTTCACCTTCTTTTCTTCAAGTTGATTACACCATCACCCAACTGCTATTCATAGGCTGTTAAGTTATGTATTGTCTTGAGGAGGATCTTGACCTCTCATATTTTCATGTGTTCTTCATTTATTGAAATTAGTGACCATTCTCTGTTTTGGATTGTATTGAATTAGGTTATGCTGTTGTTGAAGGGAGACCACTAAGGGAGCACCGGCTACCATGCTGTGGTATAGGGCTGGGATGGTTCTTGTAAGTTTTCATTATTGTTTTGTACTCGAGGTTACTTGCGACTATCTGAGCATATCCACTTGCTTAAGGATGAGCTTCCACTCATCAACTTGACTTTTTGAGCCTGACTCAACTGCATAAGACTAACTTCTAATTGTTTGCTTGCAAAAATCAACAGTTGAAATGCTTAAACAAGGACCATTTACTCTCTTACCATTGGCACTTCGAAATTACGTAGTAAAACATACAGGTCAATGCTTATGATCTAAAAAGGAGTTTTTTTTATGTAATAAAATGCAAGTATGAGGAAGATAGATGTGCAATCGTCTTGATGCAATTATATGTTAGTGATGTTCTGATGCTAGAACTGATTGGATTGAGCTGTATACATGAGTTTTTTGATGGATTGTAAAGTGATAAAAACTTAGTTGGCTATTGTTTTGAAAACCTTCATCGGCATAGTTTTTGTATGAGTAGATAGCTGCTATAGTCATGATTTACTTTTCTATTACAAGATTGGTATTGGAAGTACCATAGAAAAATCATTGACTTGCAGAAAAGGTACATGGTGGGTGTTATGTGTTTTGTATAAAAACAATCATCAAATCACATGGGCAGTCTAAATGAGGTACACAAACCATGACTGGCTGTCCATGTTACTATGGCCTGATATCTTACATTTCATAATTATGATTAGTAATTAATTCAGGTGTTGTTTCTTTTCGCCTTTTTTGTATGTATTACTGGTTCTGTTTAATCAGAGTATTAGACCAAACTAGAAACATTCATATCACACCAAATGAAAATACTCGGATCAAATTAGACCAGATTAGATGTTATATTTCAAGCATGAGATTTGGTCTGGATAAAGAATAGTATTACCAGGCCAGACCAGAAAAATTCTGACCAAACCTGGTTGTAGAATGTCATATGAGATCACATTTTTTCAAACAAAGAGAAAAGGTACTTATTACCAATGCCAGTGGAAGCTTATAAAAGTGGTCTTTTATCTTTTCTATACAAGGTTCATCTTTGGTTTCTTTCTCGGTGCCATCCCCTGGTACATAGGAGCCTTTATACTTTTGTGCGTCCGAGTAGACTACAGAGAGAAGCCTGGATATGTCGCTTGCACAATAGCTGTAAGTTTGTTCTTTGTAGCATATTACCGCTCTCCCACTAACCATCTTGAAAATTGAAAATTACCAGCCAAAAAGTATTGTTGATGTTATTTAGGATTTTGCTTGTTGCCTAATTTTCTCAAATGGTTTGCTAAATATGGTTCTGCACAGGCTATTCTGGCAATGATAGCTATTACCCTTGGTGTGACAAAGGCAACTAATTCCTGGTGAAGAGTGTTTGTGTTTTCTTAAGTTATATACACATGAAGATATAAGGAGAGTGAAAATGTGAAATTGAATAGCGTGTGAAATCTGTAATCCTGAAATGGTGCTTATGTTTCCAATAATATATTTGTACAGCAGTTGATAAATTGGATATGCATTTGTAAGTATTTTTTCTTTTATTGTGATCCTATCGATAAAATGCACATTTTTCTTCGTCTTCTCTACGCCAATCTTGCAGCAAAAAAATACCCATTGTTCAGTTCAAATGGGGAATAGAGGGGATGGGAAGGCAGTGGTAAGCGGCATGGACATGGTTCAGAGCCGGAACTGGCTTGGACTGCCCTAGTGTTGGACCGGTACCGGGCCGACCGGCCCGTGAACCGGCCCGGCTTGCTACTGTGCGGGCACGTCACGGCCTGCTACTGTGCGGGCCCGGCTCGGCCCGGGAGTCGGGTACTGGTTTCGGGCCTAGGACCGGCCCGGGGAGTTAGGGCTGGGCGGTTCCGAGCTGCCCTTCCTTTGGAACCGGCCCTGCCGGGCCTTTTTTTCATTTTTTTTGTTTTTTCAATTTTTTTTGTTTTCCCTAGATGGGCTGGGTGTTTGGGGTTGGGGGTTGGGGTGAGGGGGTCGCGGGTTAAGTAGAAAAGCACCTCAACCCCCCCCCCCCCCCAAAAAAAAAAAAAGACTCCCCGGCCGGTCCCGGGCCTTGCCCAAAATCTTTCAAGCTCGGCCGGGCCTAGACACGAACCAGAACTGGACTGGGCCCGGTCCATCCGTCCATGCATAGACTGCCCGTTCTGGGAATCCTAGTTGTTTTTTGTACACTCTTGTGGAATTAGGATGTTTTTGGTTTCGAGTCAGAATTGGCATGGACTGCCCATTCTGGGAATCCTAGTCGCTTTTTGTAAATGATTTTAATTCGACATGTTTCAATCCCAGATCAAATTTAAATAGATTAGATCATATTAGATATGGATGGACTCGGGCCGGGTGGCCCGACCCGGAACCGGCCCGGGACCGGTACTATTTCGGCCCGGCCTGACCCGGTGGCCCAGTCAGTGACCGGTCCGGGTAGGCCCGACCCGTGGGTTTTCCGGTCCGGGCTCGGGTCACCCAAAACAAGGCCCTACCCGGCTGGGCCCGGGCCCGGTTCGGGTCAAAACTAATTTTTTTCTTTTTTCAATTTTTTTTTAAATTTTCGGGTTGGGCTGGGTATTTTGGGCCATTTGGGGTGGTTTGGGGGTTGGGGGTGGGAGGGGGGTTAATTAGGAAGAGGAAAAAAAAATTGATAATGGGCCCGGCCCGGCCCGGACCGGACCCGGTGGTTACCCGGGCCGGTCCCGGGTCCACCACTCCTGAACCGCCGGCCCGCCCGGGCCTAGGCCCGACCCGGACCCGTCCCGGACCTGAGTCCATCCCTAATACGAAGTATTAGATTTCAACCGTTGTAGAATACACATAAATAGATAGATCAAAGTCCTTTTTACCCCACTTGAATAATCGAGGGATCCACAAACATACATGCATCTTCATTTTTTATTGCATTTAATTGGGACTATATAGTTATACTCTATATTTAGTTAGTTTATATTTAGTTAGTTAAATATGGTGCGAGAATTAAACGAGATTCAAGACATATATTTTATTTGGTAATGTTAACTAAAAAAAGGTCAAAAAGTTATTGAAAAAAGTGTTGACCTTTAAAAAATGTGTAAATACGGGATTTTTTTATAAAAATATTACTAAAATAAAACTTATTTACAAAAATATGACAATGAGGTACTACAATGTAATGTCATAGTAACTTAAGTTTAAAAATTGAACATAAGTTACTACGATTTCATTATTCACTATTCACTAATCACATGTTTTTAAACTGCCTCCATTTTAGTCATAAATATGTAATTATTTCTTAAAGTATATACCTTGCAAACAATTTGCAAAAAGAGATCAAATTATACGTATATTCAAATATCAAATACCACTAATATATCAAAGAATAATCTGTAATTGCATAAGTCGGTGATAAAAAAGAAATTTTTACGTAGAAGTTAGGTTCAAGACAACTTCGGCAAAAAAACAAAAAAACTTTACGCACAATAATAATAGAATGAGATCAAAGTTAATATCATCATCTTCATCAAAATGGATGACGTATGAAAAATTAGTTGCGTTGTTGCTACATTTGTTATTGTTTATGTGTAGAAGTTGATACTAGAAAAAGGTTAGATTTAGAAAAAAATTAATTTTGAGATGTCTATTTGGAAATACATCGGAAACCTAGTATTCTTTTAAGTTTTAGTTTTTCAGGATGTTAGCTTTAACCGTCATGCATTTAATTTTTAATATCTAATAATTGTATATTTTGTATTGTAAAAGTACAAAAAACATGGGGTCACGTGGAGGAGATTTTCCTTTTTTGCATTTAAACTATAGTTTTTTTAAAATGACTAAAATAAAACAAATTTTCACAAATATGACTAATAGTCACTACAATGTAGTGTCATGACATCTCATTTTTACAAATAGACCATGAGTTACTATACTCTCACTATTCCTCTAGTCACTAGTCACATTTTTGTAAACAATCTTTATTTTAGTCATAAATTTGTAATTACTTCTTTAAACTATTGTTGTTCTTATAAGTATTCAATGCATTCATTCAATTGACCAATTAATGTTCCTGTTTTTTTCAAAGTTCAAGAAATTTCCGCTTTATTCTATTTTTTGTTACCTCTTGTAAACAATATGTGCAAGTAGGGATGGACTGGGCCCAGGCGGCCCGATTTGGGACCGAAACTGTTTGGGCTTGGAGCGGGATCGGTTTTGCGGTACCAGTACCGGTCCGGTACCCAGACAAGCATGGAAACGGGAAGGGCTCGGGCCTGATTTTTTGGGAATGGACCGGCCGGTCCTAGGCCTGGTTCCGGTCCCAACCGATATATTTAAAATAAATATTACAGGGTGTGCTCGACCCGGGACGGGCACTGTTTGGGGCTCGACCGAGATCGGTACCGGACCAAACCACATTGGTACTGGGCTTCAAATAATTTGTGCTCGATTCGCAATTCGAATTCGTATAACACGATTTGAATTCGGAAAATTCAAATACAAATAAGAATATTAAATTTGATTCGAGTTGTTATCAAATACAAATAAGAATATTGGTGTATGCGATTCGAATATTAATCAAATATATTTGATTAATAATAATGGTAATATTAATATCAATAATAATAATAATAGTAATAACACTATAATAACTTTTAAAAAATAGCAATACCCTGAAAGTGTAGCATACACCAACATAATATATATATATATATATATATATATATATATATATATATATATATATACACACACACACACACTTTTGCATACAGATTCCAAGCCCATTTGTAATAAATCAGAATATAAATACGAATACAAATCATTTTTTGGTTCAAATATTTTTCAAATACAATACAAATAATTGTGTATTCGATTTGAAGAATAAAATTAGAGTTGTTTGACTTTGATATATACAATTATCAACTTATTTCACGCATTTTAAGTATAGTTTCTAATATGTGTGTGTTAGTGTTTCTTTCAAAAAGTTTGAAATAGATTTATATTTATTAATCATAAAATTAATTCACTTAAGTATATTGTGCACCATCTAAAAATGCATTTATCCATTAAATTTAAATTCTAAAAACACATATTAAGTCATAGCATGCATTTACAACATAAAAAATACGGAGTATAAGAAAAATTATTTTAGAGTGATATTTGACTAATATTTAAACTATGCTCAAATCGATTCGATATTCGTATATGATTCGTTAACTATTCGTATTGTTAAACAAACACAAATACAAATCGAAATTAATATTCGTTTCATATTTGAATTCGAATTCGTATTCGAAAAAATTAAACAAATACAAAATCGCATTATTCGACTTGATTCAGTTTGTTTACAACCCCACTGGTACCGGCCAGGCCCGGGGCCGACCCGACTCGACTCCATGCTTATGTGCAAGTATAATTGCATGTATATCATTTATGAATCAGAAAAATACAATTCACTGAGTGTTCCTTTTGAAGTACTCCGATTAGGCATGGAGTGATTGGTTCGGTCCGGCCGACCGAGACTGAGGGCCCGAACCGGGGAAAATGGGGGCGGGCTACGGGCTGCTGAAGAGGTGAACTGACTCGACCGGTCCGGGCTCTTTTTCTTATTCTTGATTTTTTCCCATTTTAAGGGATGCTAGGCAGGTGGGGGTGGGGGTCGGGGGGAGGAATAAATTAGAAAAACAAATTTAAAAAAAAAAACTAGTCCCGACCCGAACCCGGTACAAACCCTTCCGGTACTGGGCCTGCAACCCAGGCCCGCCCAATCCCGTTCCGGCCCGGTCCATCCCTAACTCCTATCCGTATATGTGAATCCCAGAAAACACTAAAATAAAATGAAGTGCAATTTAAGTTTTTAAGTTTCTTGCATAAATTAATTCTTTCTGGTATTTATGTCATCCAAAGTTGCAAACAAACAAAATAAATAAAATTCAAGTGTTCAAAAAAAGTTGAATTGCATGATTTTAGAATAGATTTACTTGACTTTGATGGAATGTTCCAGAACATATCAGACCAAATGAGAATTGACTTTGATAGTTGTAAAATATTCTTTTGATTTATTTTAAGATATTATTAATTGGATTGGTTTCAATCCCAAACCAGATCAGACCATACAAAAAAGGCTTCGATAGTTGTAAAATACGCATACGACACGTATCTACTAAGTACTAAACATGACCAGTTCAAACTCAAACTTATCATACCGATCAAACTTATCATACAGATAAAAAAAATCAGTATAATTAAAAGAAATAAGTACATATATACGGAGACTAAAATAAATGTTGCATACAAAAATGTGATTAATGACTATAATAATAACTTAGTCATACTAAGGGGTTGTTTACTTTTTTTTCATTAAGTCCTAAATAGATTAAGATGCCTGTCTGGATTAAGTGACACTGGGATAACAAGTTGTTAACTATGTCTGCTGAATGAGAAGTCTGAATTATGTTAAATGATCAAGTAACCCTTCCGTCTCGAACAAGTGATGAATGTATATTATCTAATAATATACAAAAAATCAAGGATTCTGCAACAACATTTTAAAATAAATAGTATATCAATTTT